ATTTTTCTTTTAAAAAACGATCAAAGGGTTGATAGAGCCAGGGAAATATTGGTTAGTTCAATCCCATGGCAGTATTTCTTCTATATACAAATATAAAAATGCATTTACTCTAAATTTTAAAATTCTTATTAAGTTCAAAACATCCTGATAAAGAGAGACAAGTTGCCCTTCGAAATATTGTTCTGATAAATATTTTAAAACCCAAAATATTTCTATTTATCAGGGTATCAACAAGAATTATTACAAAATATATTTGGCGCAAGCCATCATCAACTTTCAGTTTCACGATAAGGAGAAGCCTTTATCTTAATTAATACACCACAATATCACATTTGTACTATTTTTTCACATTGTTTAGCGTTCTTACGCAATTCTGGCCTTAATTGCTCGTTCAATGATATTTCAGGATGCCTGAATGACCAGTTTTTTGGTCGTTGAGGTACAGCTTGCACCACACTGACATGTACGTGGTTAGCTCATCTTGATTAGTCAAGAATGGGAATTTGGCCAATTCTGGAATAATTAAAAATCAACAGAATAGTTGATATTTATTCCAACAAATGGCGCAAGCCTACATCAACTTTCAGTTGATGCTTTTTTCTGTCAGGAGCCTTTTTCTGAAAATATATTTTATTCTTGTTTTGTGGTGGGTTTATCGAATTGAGAAAATCTAGTTATTTGTATCGTAACTAAAGATAAATATGGGAGAAGACACCTCTCCTTAATAAACAAATACTTGTCTATATTCACATCCAAAACAATCATATTTTGTGAGATGCCCTTATTCAAAATATTGTCTTTCATACACAGGAATATTATTTTGCGAAATTTAAATCTATATTTTAAAGTAAAATTGTGTTTAATTTCTCACCATTTAAAACTACATTATGATAGATTCGCTCACAATTTCACTAATTCTTGGTAAGATATTATTCTCTAAATCTTAAATTGTACTTTTGAAGCACTTCCTATCTGACTCTATAGAATATACATATACGCTTGAATAACACTGGGTTTCATTTACAAACACGCATGGGAAGTTCATATAAGTCAATTTGATGGCGGTCCGGTATTTGCATAAGTTCCCCAGTTAATGTAATTAACCTTCTTAGAACATTTAAAGTTACGGTTACATATATAAGCCGTTAGAAGATTGTCAGTCCTTTGAAAGCAGACTCTATGAACAGGGGCAAAAGATACATTTACACCGAGGGGCCTGTACTACATCTCCTAATATTTCTTTTTCAAAATAGACACTTCGGTCAGTTAAAATTTTATTTTCTTAACGTGTCAACAAATATCTTTTGTCTTCTTCAGGATAGACCAAACTCTGCAGCGGTGGCAGAGACGCCATATTCATTGTACATAGTACCATGCATCTGGGACCAAAATTCTTTTTGGTCGCAGTAGTACAGCCTACTCCACGCTGACGAGCGCCAACAGCGCGAAACGCGTTCGTGGATGGTTTTTCTTAATTTATCAAGAAATTGGGTTGACCAAATATCAGGGAACAGGCTAAATCAATGTTTAGCTGATTTTTGTTCCACCAGATGGCGCTCGGCCTTCTGTAAAGTACATGTGCTCCTGGTCAGGATATGCCATTTTTAATATATATAATTATATTTTAAAAATAGTACAGACTGTGCAATTTAGCATGTATTGACAAGATGTCAATAATATATTTTAAATGTCTACTGTTTTCAGGATGAATAAAACTAAAGCATTTGCAAAGGCGTTAAAAATTATTCTTATTTTTACGAATTTTTAACGTCTTGAAAAATGCTTTATTTTTATTTCTACTAACGAAGACAAAATATTTTTGTTGAAACGTTGAGAAAATAAAAATTGAACTGACCGAAGTGTCTATTCTTTGAAGGAAATATGAATGACGGTCAGAGGCAACCTCTATCTTTAAGAATTCTTAGTAGTAATTATGTTTCTAATCGTTTTTTTTTTACTTATCCCTAGTACACGTGGTACAGGCCATAATAATAATGGTGGGTAGAAGTAAGCGACTGCTTTTACTGTAAATGCACCACATGTCTACACATGTGAAAAGCAGATCGACTTTTCACTTACAAATGTGCCAGAGCCCCGTTTGGTTACTTGCACTCGCTGGTGGGGTTGGACTTTTGCAAGAATCGGGGGCCATTGGAGCATTTATTTTAAACATTAAAAAAGTGCCCAATGCGGGAATCGAACCCGGGTCGTAGCGGTCGAAAACCAACGGTTTAGACTATCCTTCCACGGACTCAAGAACTTCTTGTAGTAATAATGTTTCTAATATAGTGAATCTATAAAGTACAGCTCTCCCATAATACATAGGGGAATATGTTATTCAGCAATCGCTATGACTTCCTGCCATCAATATTCCGAGCACACTCCTGGGATTTTATGGGCAGATTCCCCAGGTGCCGTCCAATTTTAAGTGGTGACCCACGTGACATTGCCTCGCTCTACCCGTCCTGGTGGAATTCATACCCCACCATATATAGCCTGGATCACTTCGCTACTCTTTCCCCATCACATATAGCCTGGCTTCATTCCATCACATCACTACTCTTTATATTGTTTCATATATCTGTTTAGCAATAGTACACATAGTAGCCACAAATAACTAGAATGTTTTACTAGCTTTCATTTATTTCATTAATCTCAACATTTATAAACAATAAATAATCTATGGATTTGTAAGAATGTTAATTATTTTTATAATATATAATGTTTTTAGCACACCAAGAATGGACCATTTTATAAATATTAAAGGTAATCTAGGACAACACACAAGCCTCTGTCCATGCTTCCATCAAGAATCCATCTAAAAAGCCGAAAATTCCCCATTGATGGTCAGCACCTTTTCTCTCTCCTAATAAGTTTCAATACGATTAATTAAAGAAATTCTAAATTAGTAAAGTTTTCTGATAATTAGATGACGTCAAAGTATGATACTACTGTGATATATACAACCCAATGAGATTTCAATTGTAAAATTTTAGTAAAATAGATGTGTGACCTAATTTAAGAGAGGGCAAATATTTCGCACCATAAATCAAACTCTAATTTAAAATTGATCAAGTTTCAATTTGATGTCTGGGCACCATCCATCATGAGGCTGTCAGCTGACCTTGTTGCCCCGTTGTTCTTTCAGACAATTGGCAGGGTGTGGAGGTCAACATGGCTTCATCTTAAATTCTCTCTTCTAATATACATTCTATAATGCCCTCAAAACATAGAATGTAGATTAGAAGACAGAATTTGAGATGAAGCCACCTTTCAGGTGTGAGATCTTTTATACCAATATGGCAAAACACTGTCCCCTCACATTAATCCCCCCTAAACAAAGTGAGGGAACTGTGTTTTGCCATATTGCTATGAAAGACCTCACACCTGAAAATACTCAAATAATTTGGCTTTCCCTCATATTTAAAACGGCCTCTGATATTTCTACAAGTATTTAAAAAGTCAGTTTATCCTAATAAACAATAATGTTTGCGGAAGAGCAATGATCGATGCAAATATTTATATGTAATTCTACTGTCCTGATGTCTTATGTCTATAATTTGCTTAAATACCATTTCTAAGATTCCACCCTTCATTGTAGCATATAAAATCAGAATTATCCAATACAGTATTAGAGCTCTAAAGAAGTGTTCTGTTAGATTAAAATAGCGAAACAGCTGGGAGGGTTCACCACTGATGAACCAAGCCTTCCCAATATTCCACCATATCAGTAAAGACAGTAGAAGTTTGATTGCGGAAGAGCATTGCTCGATAAAAATAAAAAAAATGTAATTCTACTCTCCTAAAAGCTTATGTTCATAGTTTGATTGAATACAATTTTTATGATGCCACTCTTCAGTGTTGCATATAAAAGAAGAATGAACCAATACAGTATTAGATCTCTAAAGAAGTGGTCTGGTAGATTAAAAAAATTGGAGAAACCGTTGGAAGGGTTCACCACTGATGAACCAAGTCCTCCCAATATTTTTTCATATCAGTAAGGACAGTAGAAGTTTGATTTATTTGTGAAAGAAACATTCGCATCTTAATGTTTTCATTTGTTATATATAGATGGCGCGTTATTGATTTGTATTAATTATGATTTTGTCATATTTATATATTTGAAAGAACAAGATTCATCTCTGTCTTTATATTTTGATCATTTAGCTTTTATAACTGTAAATAGAATGGCAGTTTTTGCCTGTATGATTTATTCCTGTTGATAGAGATATTTACTGAAAATATTCAATTGTGATCTCCAGACAATATCAATGCTATTATATTAGTCTGAATAATCATATAATATCTGCATTTGTTATAGAATACAGTAAATAGGTGTTTAAAGATACTTATAAACATATGTTCATATAAAAGGGCGTACCTGGATCTGTAAGAAAAAAAAAACATGTTTTTCTCAAAATATTTCGAGAGATTGCTCTTTCTATATCAAAATTGATAAAGAGGGAGCAATCTCTCGAAATAATTCGAGAAAAGAATTGTTTTTTTTTCCCTTACAGTTCCAGGTACTCCCTTTTATATATAAACTTATTTGATGGATCGCCTTTTGACTTAAAATATGTTTATAATGGCTGTAAAATATATGCCTTATATAAAAATGTAATACATCGGGAAATTCTCTTTCACAAAAATTTCAAAATGCCTGTTAGGCAACATGTCAAATATCATCCTCAACTGAATCCCTCTTTTGCTGAAAAAAAAATTGGAAATATTTTTAAAACGTTGCGTTTAAAATATATGTATAATTAAATAGTATTTAGAAAAACACAGATACATCAACCTATAGTTTAACTCCCGACGTTTCAATAACTTCCTGCCATTCTCTTCAGGGGAATGGTTACTTTGAATCCTAGTTCTACAGTTCTCTACAGAGTCTTCAAAAGTTATCTACAATCCTAGTTCTCAGGTAGAACTAGGATTCAAAACAACCATTCCGCTGAGGAGAGTAACAGCGGGTCAGTGAAATGTCAGGAGTTGAATAAACCATTGGGTAGCCTAGTGGACATGGCATCTGCCTGGTTAGCGGAACATTGTGGGTTCGATTCCCATCCCTGGACACTTTTATTTTTCCGTTCATCATTACTCTTCATAATTCACCCTTTCATACTTCATCCAAAAAGGTTAGAAATAGTCAATATTTCACCTTGAAATAAATTTTGATTTTTCGTTGAAAAGAAATTCATGCGGTGTAACTTCAAGTGTTGCTTTACAATCACAGGCCTCAGTGTATTATATTGTATTATAGGTTGTTGTGGCTGTGTTTTTTTTATTAATCTACTTCTAACCAACAACTGACCTTCGGAACTAAAACCTATTTATACACAGACTTTATAAGAGTGTGTTCTTCAGATTAAATTGAAGAAACTCTGGGAGTGTTTGCCATTGATGAATCATGATTTCCTTCTTTTAATTTTAGTATGTACAGTATAAAGTCTGTAGCTTTATATTATATAAATATGTATTTTTATATTATACATACAGCTTTATTAAAACCATCGGTCTTATACAGATTCACCACAGGAAGGAAGTATAGATAGAGTTTCTATACTCCAGGCAGCGCAGAACCCAACAGCCTCTAGGTCCAACGCATGCCTTACTGGTTTATATCTAGTCTAGTTTATATTTTCGTTCTATTTTTCATATACATATATTTGTATTATATTTTAAAAAGCATATATTGGATCTCTCTCTCTCTCTCTCTCTCTCTCTCTCTAAAAAAATCAATTGAACTAATATATGCATTTTTAATCAAATATTTATTTATGGATTTCTCTTTTTTCAAAAAAATATATTTGTATATTTAAAAAGAGAGAAAAGTAGGCATATGTAAAAATTATTTTAAATTTTCAGTGATATAGCTGGTGCTAAATTGATATTCAAATATGCCAGCGGCTTATAGCTATGCAAATAAGTTACCTTTGTAACTATTGATTATAAATAATGGTTTAATGTCTGTGGGCGTGTAATGTTGTTTCAAAAGAGAATAGTTAAGCCATGATTTATTGGCTACAATTGGCTATGAGAAGTATAAAATATAAAAATATAAACGGTAATAATGTGTTTCTTTATTCTTAAAAAGTGAAAGCTTTCGGATATTTATAATCTTTTCACAGGCAATATTGTATATTTATATATACTCATTCTCCTCCAACTTTACAGCTATGCCTGTGGAAAAATGATAAAAATCCGAAAGCTTGCACTTTTAAAAATAAAAAAAACGCATTGCTACCTTTTATACTTATATATTTTGAGTGTATTATATTCAAAGTCAGTTAACCAAGAGAATAATTGCATATTCAGCATTGCTACATCTACAGACAAGATATGTTGCAGACAAGACGAGGAGGGCAAGCAGCCAATTGAAAAATCACAACAGATTCCGCCTCATCATGGAGGATGTTTAGTATGCAAATACCGAGCGATGGGTCACGACAAGTTATGCAAATAAGAAGTGTGGCCAGGTCATCTTTATTCACCATCCGCTCAAGGGAAAGAGTAAATAGATAGATAGGATGATAGGGATAGGGAGTGTTTGGACATAGGTGTTTTTTTATATGTATTTATATGGTATGGAGAACAGCAATTATTTATTCATAGATGGCTAAACGAAGGAATTACTCCCATAGAGTCATCAAAGATACAGCTGACTATAGCTACCAAATATGTTCCATACATTCACAGAAAGCCTCTACTTATGAAAGAGAAAGCTATATTTGAGATATTGTCTGTTTAAAAGACAACAGGTCTTACTATGGCAATCAAACTTTGGAAGATATATTTATGATTATCTTTCAAACTTGAAAGGTTCAAGTTCCTAATATATATTATTGTTTCTCTTTTTATTTTGATTGCTTTTTTTTTGTGTGTTATGTTTATTCCTGTTTCTGTTTTTAAAAAAAAATTAAATCGACTCAATTATCCCTAGCCTGGATATCGCGTTTTGTGTGTTGAAATAAATAAATAAATCAAACTATGAAAAGGTGTTTTAAGATTTGTTGTTAAAGTTTATATTTTCTGTAATTGAGAATATCTTAGACATACTTTAGACATTTCAACTATACCGATGATTGGTTATAAGTGATTTGGTGAGCATAGATAAGCGTTTTGAAGATCTTGTTTTCTGGAAAGTAGATAGGGGTGGATTTATCAGTTGACCGAAGTTGAAAACTTTGAACTGAATTGAAATAGTTAAGAATCTTGTAATAAATAGTCAATGTTTATAAATTAAGACCATTGAAGAACGATTATCAATTAAAAGCTAGGATTTTAGAATAAAAGGAAGAACTAATTGTTATAGACCTATTTGTAGTTTTAAAAGAGTTTGATTTATTGTTATTATAATTAGTAGAATTAACAACAATGTGTGTAGTGATGAAATAAATTAATTAATAAATATCATCAAAATCTCATCCACAATCGAAGAGAACTCTTTCCAGACCTAAGTCTTTGATTAAAAGGTATACATTGGATCAAAATATTATTTATTTTACCAATATTTCAGCTAGCCGAACACCAACCTTTATCAAGATGTTATAAGGTTGGCGTTCAGCCAACTGAAATATTGGTAAAATAAATGATATTTTGATCCAATATATGCCTTTTTATTCAAAGATCTATTTATGGATTGCTCTATTTTAAAGACTTAAGTCTATATCGTAGAAATATTTCATTCGTATATGTCACATATTCTAGGAATGTAGGCAGAGTTTAAACAGCTAATCGAACAAATATATTATTTTTAATTAAAAAGGCATATATTGGATCAAAATATCCTTTATTTTACCAATATTTCAGATGGCTGAACGCCACCTTTATCAAGGTGTTATAACATGTTAAAGTGTGTCAACAACAAACTCAGCGCCACATAACGTCAACAGCATTAAGTTTTTAAAAATATTTTGTTATATTCAATGGGGAGAAAAAAATTTGATATAAATATCTCATTTTATTCTTATAAAATATGTTGGATTGATATACAGGTAATTGCAGAAATAAAAATATCGATTTATTTACTCGTTTCAACGTATTTTGACTAGTGAAAAAAGTATTAATTTACTTCTATTACACTATAATCTGTAGTATTGGGATATATTGTAGTAAATATCAAGCTGCATTTTCAAGATTTTACTTAGAATGTAAATTCCAAGAAGATATTTCACAAATATATATAAAAATCAATGTATGTTTGTTTGTTTGTATGTCCGGTATACAAATTCGCAGTAGTTCACTAATTCAAACCAAAATTTCCATACCTAGGTAAAGAAATACGGGGAAGACGATAGGCTATTTTAAAAATATATAAATCAATTATTAAAACTATATATTCAAATTATTCTACTTAGCTCACGAACAGCGCCCTCTATCAAAGATTAGATTAAATTATGCTGATGCAAACAAATAGATAATGCTAATTACAAACAATTATAAAAAAAAAACTTATCTAAATTTATATCACTCGGGTAGATATGCACACGGGTCAATCCCGGGGCGAAGCCCGGGTCACCCGTCTAGTTTCAAATAAATATTCACACTTTTAATTTATAATAAAGATTATTCCCTGATTTTACATTTTTATATAATCAATAAGTGATCTAGGATTTGGATTCTTTTTACAATTCTTTTATTTCTCGAACTTTCTGGCAACATGTCCTCCGTGTTGAAGGACATATTATCCCGAAAGCTAGAGAAATAAAGGAATTGTTAAAAAAAATCTCTAGATTCCTTATTAATTTTGTCAGAATACTCACACGTGTGTGAAGTGCGAGAAAAGTAAATTTGAAAGTAAAACAATGAATATTGTTTTTTGGAAACGGCAACAACGGGATACATAAAGGTCGAAAAAAGGTTTTAAAAAGGAAGGGTTGAAGTAAATTATTTATAACTCTACTATACTAATTGATAAATTGACGTAACAAACGTCAAATCTAAAATTCATAAGAATATATGTTCAGATTTATTTTTATTTTAGAGTTCTCTGATTTGAGTTGAAACTCTGAAACACCCCAGCCAGCTCAAAATAGTATAAGGATCTTCCAAAAGTCCGTGTTTTTATTAAAACGTTGTTTTTCTTATTACTTGGAGAATAATATTATTACGGAGAATACATAATGCAATTATTTCATCTGTGGTGATATTTGATTGGGATAGGTTAGACAAGTACGAAAGCTTGAAAATAAAAAAAAAGGTTGCACAAGAAACTTAGTCCTTGAAGCTTCATTTATTTTATAGCATAAAACAGTTATTTTATACATAATATAAAGACATTATACATAACGGTGAATATATAATAATACATATTACAAATACTTTATACATAATACACACACACACACAAAGCCTTTATTAAGACATTAACCTTATCTTATACATAATACAAGGACATTATATATAACGGAGAATATATGATAATACATAAAACAGTTATTTTATACATAATATAAAGACATTATACATATAACGGTGAATATATAATAATACATAATACAATTACTTTATACATAATACAAGGACATTATATATAAATTTGCCCCCTGCTTGCAGGGCGAGCCAACAACTCCAGATTGGCCCCACCAACCTCTCCTGCTGGTGTCCCATCAACGACCACCTCTGCCCCACCTCAGCGGTCAGCGGCCCAGCCTCCTGCACCGGCGCCCTCCAGTACAGCCATGGAGATCCCCGGCGATTCTCACGCGGCCCGAGCTGTGACCCCATCTGCAGCACCTCGGCCATCTACACCAGTGGCCTCGGCCGTACCTATGGAGATGGCGCCTCCTGCCCCTCCACCTGTGACCCCTGCTCCGTCCCTGCGAGCACCTGGGAGTCACGAGCCTGCAGCCCCTACACCGGACATCGAGATGTCCATCGTCGAGGAAACATCAACATCCTCCACATCCTCGTTAAAAACATCAACGAGAGAAAGCCTCGTTCCTTTCATAGAGAGGAACCCAGGCGTCTCCTTTGCCCAGACGGACGCCCTTGGCCTCGGGCGGGAGGAGGTCTTGGACATCCTCTCCTCGAAGACCAAGGCTCGGAAGCGGGGACCCCTCCTGTCACCTTCG